TTGCCCTGGGAATGCCACCCCTCCACCTACAAGGATTTTGCTTGCTTCTTCCAGGAATCCCTGTGGTATTTTCAGGGTCCCCCATGGCAGGAAGGAAATGATGAATCTGACTCCATGTTCTTAGAAGGCTATTATATTATATTATATTATATTATATTATATTATATTATATTATATTATATTATATTATAATTATATTATGCTATACTAAAAGTTATCTCCCTCCTGCTCCCCATTCCCCACATTTCCCCTACTCCTTGCCCTGGGAATGCCACTCCTCCCCACGCAGGGATTGTTCCCCCAAAGCCCTGATTCCCCCCGGGTTCCTGGGTACAGATCCCCCAGCCTGACCTGGAGCTGTGCCCTCCCCACAGGAGAACAAGAGCCGGCAGATCCGACAGTTTCACTTCCATGGCTGGCCAGAGGTTGGGATCCCCGGGGATGGGAAGGGGATGATCAACATCATTGCAGCGGTGCAGAAGCAGCAGCAGCAGTCTGGCAACCACCCCATCACTGTGCACTGCAGGTAAAGCCTGGCTGGAGCAGCTGGGCCACCCCTCTGAGGGGATCTGCTCCACCAGGAGCTTGGCAGATGGTCACAATCCCAAATTGTGCCCTGGGTAAAATGGGAGAGGCTGGGGTGGGGTGTTTTTGGGGTTGTTGGGAGGAATGGTGAATCTGACTCCATGTTCTCAGAAGGCTAATTTATTGTTTTATGATCTATATTGTACTAAAGAATATTAAACTAAGCTAGACCAAAGAATAGAGAAAGGATACAGACAGAAGGCTAAAAGATAATAATGAAAACTCGTGACTCTTTCCAGAGTCCTGACACAGCTTGATGGTGATTGGTCATTAAATGAAAACAATTTACATTAAACCAATGAAACAATCAATCACTTGTTGGTAAACAATCTCCAAACCACATTCCAAACCAGCAAAACACAGGAGAAGCAAATGAGATAAGAATTGTTTTCCTTTTTCTCCGAGGCTTCTCAGCTTCCCAGGAGAAAATCCTGGGCAAGGGGATTTTCCAGAAAATATGACAGTGGCACTGGGGCAGGGCTGACTCCTCTGGATTGTCCTCTGGGCAAAGCCATCAGGGGTGTTCCCTCAGCTCCTGGTTTCTCTTTCCCAGTGCTGGAGCAGGAAGAACGGGCACCTTCTGTGCGCTGAGCACTGTCCTGGAGAGGGTGAAGGCAGAGGCCATCCTCGATGTCTTTCAGACAGTCAAGAGTTTAAGACTACAGAGGCCACACATGGTGCAGACACTGGTAGGTGCCTCCTGCCCCGCCAGAACCTCAGCAAGGATGGGCTGGGGGCTCAGTGCTGAGCAAAAACCTCTTTGGTTCAAGGTTTTTGCTCTCATGGAAGAGGGAGTGAGGGGAGATGTGGGTTCATCATCTGGAAGTGTCCAGGGCCAGGATGGGTGGGGCTTGGAGCAACCTGGGACGGTGGGAAGTGTCCCTGACCATGGCAGGGGGTTGGACCAATCTCAAAGTTCCTTCCAACCTTCAAGGTTCATTCCAACCCAAACCATTCTGGGATCCGTGATTCTGTGAGGGTGGGCCAGGAGCTGTCTCCCTTCCTCTTGTTAAGGCATCAAATGCCTTTAAAGCACTGACAGAAGTTGTAGGAACCTCCTTGGGGACATCCTGAGCCACAATCCATTCATTAATGAGCTGAAACTCCTGGAAGAGTGTCCTGCTGGGGCTGGGTGGGGTCTTTGCTCAGGGTTGTAGAAGAAAAATGTTTTGGGATCCAAACAGAACCTCAGAGAGGGAAGGGGAAAGCAGAGTTTGTTTGGCCATGAGTACCCCAGGAAGGGTTTGGGGGTCACAGGGAGGTGGGACCTGCTCTGGACACCTGCCCAAGCTGTCTGAGGTGTGGGTTTTCCTGCTGTGACCCTGCTCTCTCTGGACTCCCACAGGAACAGTACGAATTCTGCTACAAGGTGGTGCAGGAATACATTGACGCCTTCTCAGACTACGCCAACTTCAAGTGAAGAAAAACAGGAACAAAAAAATCCACACCCACCCTCCCTGAAACAAATGACAGAAGAGTTGCCTTCTTTAATATTTTGTAATATTCTGTTTGTTAATATACCCCCCCAAACAAAACAAAAAACAAAACCTATGTGTATATATCTTAACTGTTTTAGAGGTTGGTACCATAAGCTTCATATTAGCTGGAGATTTTATATGTAGCAAAGTGTTAGTGCAGATACTGTTGGCTCCTTTTTTTCCAATGTTTTATTGGGGAATTAAATAGCTTGATGTTTGGATTAATATTGTCATACCATCTCTCTTCTGGAGAGTTGATACAGGCTGTTATTTTGTTTGTAAATCTCTTTTTTTTTTTTTTTTTTTTTTCTTGAGTTTTTTTGGGCGTTTTTTTTTTTTTTTCTTGAGGGAGTAAAACCTTTTTAAAAAAAAAAAGGAAAGAAAGATATCCTGGATCTCATCTGAAACAAAACCCAAACCCTCCCCCATCAGCACAACCCCACCAGCACAAGCTTTTCCAAACCTGCAGGGAAATGGTTTCACATTTTTCTGCTGGTCAGCTCTAAAAAAAAAATAAGGAGAAAAATCAAAAAAGTTCATTCTGTGTGTGTGTTTATATATAAATACTCTCATTTTTGTACCAAAAGCTAAAAACATTCTTCTCTCAGGGTCAGGCTACCATGTACTGCTGGTTTGGAAACTGTAATTGCCACACAGCAGCACCCAAATGTTGGGATTTCAACCCCAAAAAAGCAAAACCCAGAAAAACAAAAGTATTTTTTGCTCCCTGAAGGAAAGGTCTGTGTGTTTGCAGCTGGATTTTAGGGCAGGGATTGGGGCTGGCCCTGTGGCCCTGAGCTGAGGGTGGTCACAGTGGCACTGCCATCCCTGCTGGGGCTCTCTGCACCAGGTGAGCTCCATCCCCAGCTGCTGGGGGAGATGTCAGATTATTTTTCCTGGCACCCTGAGAGATCTCAGAATGAGGGCATGGTTTGGGGTGGAAGGGATCTCATAGAATATCCAATCCAATATTCATGGGCAGGGACACCTCCCACTATCCCAGCTTGCTCCAAACCTCATCCAACCTGGCCTTGGGCATTCCAGGGATCCAGGGGCAGCCACAGCTCCTCTGGACCCCCTGTGCCAGGGCTCAGCACCCTCCCAGGGCAGGATTTTTCCCAAATCCCCACTCCAGGCCTGCTCTCTTCCAAGAAAAATCCAAAGACTCACAAAATGTCCTGAGGAGCAGAGATGCAGCACTTGTATATTTAAAAAAAAAAACAGGTTAATATGGGTGATTTTATTATTTTCTTATGAAACAGAGGCTGAGGAAAGACTTTCCTTGTCCCTCCTGCAGTCAGGGACAACCATGGCCCGGTTAATGAGGAGCTCCATCCCCTCTGCAGGCACTGGGAGAACTGGTTTGGAGCAGAGGCTTCACCCCAAGGATTTCTCTGGACACCCCAACAGTGCTGGGGAGCACAGGGTGGGTGGCAGGGCCCAGGAATATTGACAGGGATGTTCTAGGCTCAGGATATGGGGTTGAAACCTGGGAAATTCTGGGTAAAAACAGCCCAAGAGTCAGAGTATCTGTTTTTTCACCTTTTTCCAGCCAGGCAGGATTCAGTGGAGGCACACAGGCAAGGAGGGCACACAAAACACCCCCAAAAGTTGCTTTGCTGCTGCCACCATCCCCCCTCCATCACCTGGTACCCCTCATGAGCCCCAATTGCTAATAAATTCCAGCTCCTAAATTTTGGGGGCTTTGGGCCAAGGCTGTCACACTCAGAACTAAATGTGGTGACCCCAAAGGAATGGGGACCCTCCTTGAACAGGGGGGGCTCCATTTGTCCCCACAGGTGCTCCAGCCAGGAACATGGACCACCCCAACAAGTCCCTCCATTTCCCCTTTTTTCCTCCATCCCCAGGATCTTAGGGAGTTTGGGGAGATTTTGGGGTGCCAGGAGCTGCTTTGAGCTTTTGCCACAGCATCTGCACAGCCCCATCCTGCATCCAACTGCAAATATCAGAGAGATGAGCAGCTGCTGGAGATAATCCAGGGCAGATCCTGCCTAAATCCCCTTCCCAAACTCTGCCACATCCCCTGAGCTGGGAGCTGTGGGCTCCATGGCCCCTGCCAGCATCCAGCCCCACTTTGGGGCTGACAGATTAGAAATGGGGGGAGAACCAAGGAAATGGGGGCAGGGAAACTGAGGCACGGGGAATTTGCTCCTCTCCTTTCAACAAGAGCACCCCTGGAGCTGCAGAGGGACAATCTGCATCCATCCCTTTCCCAGCTGCCAGAAAATGGGAAATGTGCCCCTTCTGGGGCAGAATCCCCAAAAAGGAGGCTCAGGGTGCTGTTCTGTGGTGCCAGAGAGATTTGGGGACAAGGAGGCACCGGGCA